TTCCATTCTACCACATCACCTATGAGATGGCAAACAACTTGAACCTTCATTTGTTTTACACTGGTTTCTACCCAATCACAGCAGACCTTTGGCCTTGCTATCTATTCCTATAAGGAAGCCACATATACTGCATTAGTGAAAGGGGAGAAAAAGTCAGGGCTTAACCTTTCATATTGTAGAACTGTTCAGGTAGACCTAAATATCTTCATGCTTACTCCTATATTGGGGGTAACCTTCCTTCTGCATGAGGGATTATGACAATTAGGGACAAGTGGTTCAGAGCTAAGTAGAATGAAAGCTCTGTCCCCTCACCCTACAGGCATTGCTTACTATTGTCTTAGCAGTGCTATGATCTACACACTGGAAGATGAAGAATTTTTTTCAATTTTAATCTTTGAGATCAAATTATTATTAGTAAGTTTATTAAGTAATGTATTCTGAGACAGTATGCTTAATTATAAAGTCTTGAATTAAATGCTCAACTCTTGGCCTTGTAACAGAAACTTGTTATACATAAGATTTAGAGCAGAAAATGACTAAGTATTGAGTTCAACACTCTTGGTTTACAGATGAGGAAACTGAGGTCATGTTACTTGCATAAGATCAAGGTTATTACACCAGAGTATATATTAGTCCTGAAACAGGACTTTAAGTTGTATGTTGAAGACGCCAAGTCTCTATTTAGATCTGAGTGATGGCAGCTTTGGTTTTAGCCAGGGACTTGGGAATATGGAGGCATAATTTCTAACAGAATCAGGGAAAACAGTAGTGGCTCTTCAGTGACAACATCCCAAAGCTGAACTTCCCAGACACTCTGCTCATTCCAATGACTCTCACTTTTAAAATAACATTATACCTTATATTTTCTTTAGCTAATGGAAGCAGGCTGGACTGCTATATTTAGGCCTGACTTAAATATCAATGGCCTCTCAAGTAAAAATGATTGATAGTGTGATAAATGTAAATGGGTAGGGCATGTGTGCTGGGGAGGGGGGCATTTAATTCAAAATCATGGTGTTCCAGTCATCAATAAAAGAGCTCAATTTTCTTGAATACCAAATTGATATAACATCCCTTGGCTATAACATTCATGTAATGTGTGTCTGATAGCCATTTGTAATAAGGTGAAAGGTTCCTTTGTGTTGGTGGGGTGCTGACAAGTCCACATGGAACCTTTCTAATATCCTTCTCTAAAGGCACACTCAATTCTATGGGACTACAATGCATTCATGTGTGCAAAACAAACAAGTGTCTAAAAAGACATTTGAGTTAAAAGTTTTATTCATTCAACATCTCACATTACAAATATTTAAAAATTATATGCATACTGGTATAAATAGTCATTTGCAAACTATTTAATAACATTAATTTTCACTAGCACTTCAACAAATGAACTCTTTAAAAAAAGGAACTGTGTTATATAACTTAGAATAGAACATACAAAAATATGAACTTAACGTGAAAATGACTTTAATAAAAAATGAATTACCCTTATTTAAAATGCTATAATAAATACTACAACCTCCCCATACACAGTAAAAACTATATGGAAATTCAGCCAAGTAGTACAATTAACCGACATACTTAAATAACTTTTCCTCCTGATAATATGAGCAATACATTGGAAAAAAAAACATCAGGGATTAGTAAAAACTAGACACCCACTTGCTAAAAGTTTCACTTCCAAAAAATATAACAAAAATCTGATGAAAATTATAAAAACTAATTATACTTTAAAATTTAAAAATATAAAAAATAAAACAGTTGAATACAATATTGTCCCAATTCTTACAATGCTATCAATCACAGTAGCTTGAAAATAAGATAATAAAATAAAGCAAATGACCAAAACCTCTTTTATTCCATTTTTTAAAAATAATCTCAAATTTACATTAGTAGAAAGATTGATTTCTGATTCTTTTCTTTAGAAACACCAGCAAGAAAGAGGATTACTATAACAGTAGAAAATGACATTTTTAAATGTCTGCAATTAAAAACAAAGAAGTACACTGCAAAGATCTTTCAAAAGTCTGAAATAAGTATTGCACATAACAACTTGAAGTTAACTTGCCACAATTCATCACATTCAAGTTTTAAATCACCTTTTAACAGAAGGTTCAACTCTTCAAAACAAAAGGGGTGAATTATCAAGTCTTTCCAACAGCACTCTTATAAAATGCTAAATTCATTCACTGCAAGTTTTATTTTGCATTCTGCAGAGGTCTGTGTATGGAGAAGTATATATACTATACCAAAGCATGGGGCCAGAGGGATAGGGAGAGGGTTCCTTTACATAGAAAATAATCAGAAACACTTTATTTTACATTGCAAAAATAACCATGTAATTACTCTGTAACTACATTGTAAATACATGGCTGGTGCCATGCTAGTGCGCTAGAACTACATGCTTGGGAAATTGAAGTGATACCCTAAGATCTGTAAACTAATTACATGTTAATTATGTTTTGAGTTACATGGTAACTCCCAACTACAATCCCATGTAATCCGAAGGACATGTCACCGCTAAAGTCCAGAGTAATAGATATAATTGTTTATGCCCTGTAAATTGAAGTGTAACCAAATAATCTGCAAACACGCTTGTCACACAATCACCACAAGTGGATATTAGTAGAATAACAATTTCTTACATTAGTCATGCATACTAACATTACATACCTACCACATGGCAGGCTCAGTTTTTCTTAAATATAATTTAAAAGAGCAGACATCTCTGAATCAAACACCGAACATCAATTTGTTAATATTAAAAATGGTTAAACATTCACCAAAAACGTCTGCATTGTGTATAATTTAAAAAACTTAGTAAGAAGCTGTAGACAATTTTGATGTTACTTTAAATTTCTACCCTACACTTACGCATTTAATTTTCGAGGAACTACAGTGTTATCTGTCACTTTCATGCTTTTTTTCCTTTAATTCATAACTTTACATATACTATTTCTTAAATTATATGTACACCAAATAGCTGGTGCTGGGCTAGGATGTTTAAGCAACATGCTTTCTCTTCTCTGCAGATTCTAAAATAGCATTGCCAGTGCACAACATCCATAATTCCAAATGTATGCAGAGCACTGAAATGTATAAAAAGCAGAATATAAGAAAATAAAATTTATTAAAATTATTTATATTAAAAAATGAAGTATATGAAGATCTCTCAGTAATAAAAGTACAAAAAGCTACTCTTTGCAATATGAAAAATTGAGGTATTGCATAAAGAGATATCCCGTCAGTGAAAAGTGTGCCTAAAAATGCTCACTGTTGGAAAAACAAGATATACAAAAGTAGTGCATAACAAATATACATTATGTGCATGACAAAATAAGTTAGCTACAAAAACACTGTACCGAAATTCAGCAGGTCATGTACAAAGGGAAAATTATTATTCAAAGCTAGTTCTCAAACAGTGTTATCTCTTGTAATGTTAACTCATCACACCTGTTTACTGAGTAGGAACAGCACAGTAGCACACCCCAAGCCACCTACAAGCATTAAGAAAAAGAAAGAAAAAGGAAAAAAAAAAAGGTAAATGACCAACCTATAATTATGTAGTTCAGGAGAAAAGGAAAAGTCCCTGACAATCTACAATAAGAGCACCCTCCATTTGCATTACAGCTGTCCATATTTTCAGGGATTTCACTAAAAGCAGCTCCCTTTCTATACTTGACTACTTAAGACAGCAAATGTCTCCATTTTGACCTTTGGAAATTAACAGGTATAGTTCATTAAAGCCCGTATTGAAAAAAAAAAAGAAAGAAAGAAAGAAACGACTGCTTCTCAGAAAGATAATTGGGTGGGGTTGGGAGGAGGGGGGGGGTCACAGACCAGGTGTTTCCACAGCAGTGCTGAAGCAAGTCTTTGGTTTTTAAATGTCTAAGATGGTACTTTTAGGTAGCACAGCTAGCAAAATTGCAGTCCAATTTTTTCTATGTATCACACACTGCTGAAGGATCCTTTTAATGATGAACAGGGCATTAGTAAGAGAATGTCAATTCAAATAAAAGTTAATCTCACTACCAGAGCTTCAAGAGACTATTTTAAGCATACCCCTTGAAGCATACTGTTCAACATGTTATAATACCTTTCCAAGCTAGAATTTATTTATAATAAAGCATGCATTACTCAATGAAGTTGGCACTTCAAACATTGTGACTATGTCTCATGCTAAGTTCTGAAATTGTACTGTTATTTATTCTATAGGAAGAGTAAAGATAGACATATGTACCTTTGCACAGATTTACACAGCTATTGTTGAGCTCAAACAGTGCAAAACACTTTGCAACTACTTAGCTTTTTCATATTCATCTTCTATGTCACAACTACATTACAGGATATTCAAAGTGACTTTACATCTAAGAGTAAGCCAATCAGCAGCCAATTTCTATGATGGTATTAATTTTTTTTTTCTGAGTTTCTGCTATTCAGTGCAGTCACTGTAGCACAAAATCAGACTGATATCCTTGAGGTATCTCTAGGTTTTATTTTTTGTTTTTTTTTCTTCATGTCAAAATGGAGATCAAAGGCTGGCACCTGATGCATGTTAGTAAATTAGGATATAGAGTTATATATAACATCAAAAATAAAATCTATACATTTGTTCGTCGGGAGAGGAAATGCTAGTCTTTCCACTAGTTGTCCGTGATTCTAGCTTTGGTAGGATTCCTGGGGCTGTAACCAGATAATTTAGCTTAAAAATAAATAAGTGCACTCCCCCCTCAGTAGTAACTTGACCCAATTTTTTTTTTACATTCGAAGCTTTTTAAAGTGTTTAGATGGAAATATATCTAGCTCTGCCTACTTTACTATTTTTTTGATGTGGTAGTAACTCAGAGGCACAACAAAATTATATTCAGCCTCCAAACCTTAAAACATTAATTATAATGCTGCTTCAACCTTGCTCATGCATTTGTATCACTTTACCATGCTCTTTCCTGTTAAAAGGTAATTGTTACCTTCTTCCATTGCTGTTAAGATTTAAAAAAAAAAAGGGGGAAAAAAGCATAAAAGGAAAAGGCAAAAAAGCACTTCCCTGGGGAAAAAGTGTCAGAATAGACTGATAGTGTTATTGTTGCATGGTTATTTTAATAAAAGTATTCTTATATGTTATATTATTAACAATAATTTAATTAAAAAACCAAAATACTCTATTGTTTCATTTCTCTTTTTAATATTTCTCTCTCCTCTAAGAAAATGTTGCACAAGGTTTGCATCCTCTTGGTTTGGCAAAAACAAGAGAACAAAACTTCTGTGCAACATGATATCGATACGAAAAGGAGTTCAATACAGTTTTCAATGACACAAGAATCTACAAAATACCTATATTATAGGTCATTCTTTTCATTATACTATTGTTAAGTTACAGCCTACTACAAAAGGACATGCTATTTTGAAGGGGGAGGGGAAGGGGTCTGGATCAACAGAAGAGTGCACTTATTTTGAGGCCTGCAAATAAGTACTGCAGTAATCATTTAGTTCCAGCGGAATGAAATATGTCTAGGACGATCTCCCCCTTCCTTCACCAGGGGCTTGTGGAATTCCCTGCCAGCGCGAGAATGAATAGCAGCCCAGCAATATTCACAGTAATACTGTAGACAGGTAACATTAGCACAGAAGAATGGAGCAAATTTCCCCCCACAACGGGCCCCCTGACATTCATCGCACAGCTGATCATCCAAGACATATGGCTTAACTTCCACCTGCAATAAAAAAAAAAATGTATTTTTCAGTGGCAGCATGAAGCAATAGTTTACCATACATATCAGTCTTTATCACTTGTCTAAATGAATTTTTTCTCAAGGTGACTACACACAAAAGGTCAAGAGTTCTATCTCCCAAAGTAAAGAATGTTATTGTTCAGTTGTTTTTGTCTCTCTGTGACTGCTTTTGGGGTTATCTTGGCAAAGATACTGCAGTGGTTTGCCATTTCCTTCTCTCACTCATTTTACATATGAGGAACTGAGGCAAACAGAGTTAAGTGACTTGCCTGGGACATAGTTCTAGTAAGTGTCTGGGGACAGGTTTGAACTCAGGAAGATGAGTCTTTCTGATTCCAAGCCCAGTGTTCTATCTACTGCACCATCTAGCTATGCTTAGAGGGATGGGGATGGAGGGTTGGAATCAGGAAGACTCATCTTTCTGAGTTCAAATCTGACTTCATATATTTACTAGCTGTGTGATCTTGGGCAAGTCATTTAATCCTGTTTGCCTGAGTTCCTCATCTGTAAAATGAGCTGGAGAAGGAAATGGCAAACCACTCCAGTATCTTTGCCAAGAAAACCCCAAAAGCAGTCCCAGAGTCAAACATGACTGAAACAACCCAACAACCACAAAATAGAGAATGACTAACCTCTAAAAAACTTTTAAGACTTTTAGATCCATCACAATCACATTTCTGTTGTAAATTATTAAATATTTGCAAAACATGGCATGACTTCATCAGGGATCATAGAGCAAAGCTAGCTATTAAATCAGAAAAATGTCAATTAAACCTATTTGAGAGGTTTATGAAAATAGACATTTGAAATAATGAACTGGGATTTTTATCAGTGGAATGTGCTTTGTATAAACTTCATCTGGCAGGTAGATCAGGAAGCACAAGCTTAAGAATTTCAGCAAAAGTTCTGCTGCTAAGTTGTTATAAGGTTCAACTCACCTTTATTACATTCAAACCACCAAAAAAAAAAAAAGGCAGAAAAATGGCCATTTGAGAGTATGGATCAACTTTCTCCATAGACTGACATCTGAGCACAATGATTTTCAGTTCTAACAAGGATGCTCTCTGTCTTTGGGAGGCTAAAAGTGAGAGGCGGATATCTGAAACTAGGCCCAATACACTGTGTATAGACCAAACCCATCACCTGAACCTCTCAGGAACAAATATAGTCTAGCTATTACTTTACCAACTAGATCTGCCAGGTAAATTATCTTTTACGTCTAAGGGTTACGAAGATGAAAGAGCAAGAGGTGAAGGAGAAGAAAGAGAGGAAAGGAAGGAAGTCAGAGTAGGGAAGGGAAGTTACAGTAGGGCATTGCCTAACTCCTTAAATGCTAATGAGGAGACTCAACAAACATGAACTGATGATATAAGGGGAAGAATCAGGAGAAGGATGCTAGAAGGAAAAAAAAAAACATATGCCACAACTATGACATTAAATTTTTTTCTCCCCTATTTAGAAAAGACTTCAACAAGAATATAAAAATTTAAATAAAATCAATAATGCATGAGTTTCCAAAGACTTCAGTATTGTGAAGATGGAGGTATGATGTTACAAGGAAGCTACTACCTTGTCTCAAGTGGGTCAGAAAAGTAGGATTTATTCATTGGAATAAACCTAACTGCCCTCTCTAATGAAGCTGATGGTCCTAATAAACAATAATAAACAATAGACAATAAAAATAATTACATGAACCCAACCAGACTCTTCTCCATTGCCATAAGCCTTAAAAATGACAAATCAAACACAGTTGAATATTATAGATAAAAGTGGTTAGGCCACTCATAGAAAAGAAAATTCCCTTTTAAATATCTTAAAAAAGCATAGCTTGGCTCTTGAGTTAATTTTAATTAGGCCTCATTAGACTGACTGGGGAAGATGGAGGATAAAATATTTTGAAAAATATATAGAACATTACATGAAATATTAAATATTATGGAATAGGTGTATATGTATGCTGCAAATGTTACCTGCCAATTTATCAGGATCAAATCTTTGCAGGGATGCATTTAGAGAGAAAGCATCTTTATTTCAATTTAGAGTATGCTTTAGCTCTTACCCGTTTATCAATCTCGCCATGCTGCAGCTGGACAAAGCGTGCACTGATAGCAGCTATGTAACTCTGTTGATTCGAAAATGCAACCCGCCCAGCTCCTTTTGGATACTTCAGCTCAGGATCAGTGTCAATTCCAGCATAGCACACACCTCCATAAAGTCGATCCATTATCATTGCAAGCTCCACTAAATCAGAAAGCATCATAAAGACATTTAAGAAAACATGTTTGTGTCTCACAAAACCTACTTTGGCACAAGGAATGTCTTGGAAAACATTTCATATGTTTATTTATATGCTGGGGTCTCTTCATTAGTATTAGTATCAGGTACTACCAGCATTAAATGAATTATTTTCTTTAATTACTCATTTATATGATACTATGGCATGAACCAGGAACACAGGAGTCTTAAAACAATCAACCAATGATGGAAAGCACAAAGACATTCATTGGTTGGAATCTTGTCAGGTATTCCTATAAAGTGGGAAATTTTATGGCCATATTTATCTACCTCAAGTTCAGTACTATTTGCTAAATTTGCAGTACACATCAGACAAAGACAATGTACTTTTTCTTCTATTATGTTTTATAATTTTGTAATCAGAATTCTGTTTTTTATATGCTTCTCTATTAAATTCTAAGTTTCCTGAAGACAGGTTTTGCTCATTCTATAATTAGAGCTCCATAAGTCTGGAACATACTCTGAACACTGTCATTCAGAATTCAATGAATAGTTATTGTTTTGACTAGTGAAATGAACACAAACACTAAACATTAAATATAAACAATCCGCTTCATCTTGAAGTTTTTTTAAAAAGCAGTTACTTTTATGTTACAGACACTCTTCTAAAACGTTATTCTTCTAAGCATACCAGCTCGTAATGGCCGAGGAACACCACCAACAAAAATGGTTTTTCGTGGATCAAGAGGTTGAGAACCATCCATCACAAAGTCACTATCACTGAGATTCCAAGGTCGTATCTGTACCTGGAGGTTTCCAAAACAAGAATTTATCATTTCTAATACAGATTTGTTAACAAGAATTGTTTTTAAAATTACAAACATTTTATATCCAAAATATTTATTCCCCAATTTGCATATCTGAAGCTTTTTAAATGGCTATTTATTTGATATGCACATGAACCAACATCAGACTCCTCTGGAGAACTTGTGTTCAGGAATTCCACAGATGAGGCTTCCAAGGCAGCTTGAGGTATTGGACAGAATGCAGTTCTTGGAGTCAGGAAGACATAAATTTGACTCCTACCTTAGACACTTACTAGTTGTATGACCTCGACCAAGTCTTTAAGTTCTCTTAGCCTCAATTACTTTGCAAAATGAGGATAATAATTGCACTTACCTCTCACTGGGTTGGTGTGAGGATCAAAAAAGATAATAAACATAAAGTGCTTTGTAAACACTAACACTCATCAAAATGTTAGCTCGTATTAATGCTACCTATGTGACCTCCCAGCAAGTCACTTAACCTCCCTCATCAGTGGAATGAAGGAATTGAACCAGACAGCCTCTGAGGCCCTACCCAGCTCTGGATCAATGATTCATTCACTCATCATTCATGAAATAGCTGTCCAGAGACATGTGAGCTGGGTCCTACGCGATGATACCCCCAACTCAGGAGAGGCAGTCACAGAGTTTAATCACAGATGACGAGGTTTTAATGTGGTAACCAGGTGTTAAACTAACTGTAAAATTATAGCCACCCTTGGTAAGCCCTTCATGGACTGTGAAGGAGTCACTTCATTGGAAGAGCAAAAATTGGACATGCCTTTACAAGGCTTTAGGACCTAAGTTCTGGGGAGGTCAGAATTGCAAGTAGGGAGCTGCCTGTGGAGGAGATCTTCCGCAAGGAGTGGGAGAGAGGGAAATTCTCTTTCCTCCTTGTCCCTTCTTCTCCCTTCCCCCATGGTTTTGCAGCTAATTTGTTTGCTCAGCCAATCAAATTGTTCCCATCTCTGACTTAATCAGAGAAGCGTTTCCATATCATAAAGGTAACAGCAGGTGTTCAGGTGTTAACACCTTGTTTAATCCTCATTACCTCATCACTTGTGACATTCTGTGACTATTGTGAGTTAGGGGAATGGAAATCACATCCCCCTTTCTCATACATATGTAATACTTTTTAATCACATAAGGGCTGGCATCCCCTAATAACCACTGATCAACTAGTATATGCCCAGGAAATGCAAATTAATTTCAATATTTATCTATGCAAAAGCAGTAGCAGTATAAAACTGGTGCTAGAGAAAGTTCATAGTATATTTTCAAAGTCAAATATAATTTTCATTACCTACTTTTTGATTACACTCATTTTCCTCTACAATATAAAAGATACACAAAAAAGTGGTAGCATAGGGTATTTAAGACTATGTGCCAATATCTACTAAGATTTTTCCTTGAATATACCATGACAGTGAGATATCTCAAAGTCGGCACAGTGACCTCACAGAATACATAAAAGTTTGTTGGGAGAGTATTTCCAGCACGCATACTTTACTAAGATTATAGAGAACTCCAGACTTACTAGGCTCCAGAACAACCTTGAATAGCAACAAAATCAGTCTGGGAGGACTCCTAGCCCAAGCAATTGCCAGTCATGAAGCTAACCTTCATAGGCTCCAGATCAATCCAAAGGGTATACAGAGCAATGGATTTAGAACAAGCCCTGGGTTCTAGTCCCTGCTATACCACTCACTGGTGGTGTGACCCTAGAGACAAAACCAGATAAACCCAAAACAGAGAAGATGAGGGAAGAGAAAAATGAAGGGAAATTGCACAAGGGCAGGGAGGAAAGGTTCCTAGAGCCATTCATAAGAAAGGGACACAGAAGCTGCCTGTAAAAAGAACTTCTTAAAGAATGTACTAGGAAGCAGAGCCAGGAAAATAATCCACATGAATGACAACAACAATGTAAATGGAAAGGACAACAGCCACAAAACAGGCAGACAATGAATGTTGTGAAATTATTTTAAAAAAAAGTTTTGTCCTAAAGAAGAAATAAGAGAAAGTACGTGGTCATATAATGTCCTATTTTTTTCCACTGGTTTTGACAGGTTTTACTGACTATTTTTCTTTTCCTCTCTTTCTTCTTTTTTCCCCCTAAATTCTTTGTTATAAGAGATGGCTATCTGGGAGGGATACAAATGGAAATGTAGACAATATAAAAATAAACAGATCAAAAATATATTTTAAAATGTTCTAGGACCTATAATGATTTTTGGTTTGAATTCTACCTAAAAACATATTAATCATACAGGTCATATCAGATTGGTTAAATTTTTTCAAAGTCTGCAGATAGCAAAGAAAACTTATATCTATTTGGAGCCAGATCCTATAGTTTCAGTGAACTCTGACTTACTGGCTTATCCTTGATAGTGGGACTGGATACACAAAGGTAGAGTTTCCCATCTTCTTCAATACAAGCATCAATCAAAGCCTGAACAGAGCTTTCATCTTGGAACAGCAAAAATGCATATCCTGAGAGAGGGGAAAAAAAGAGATGAATGGCAGCATTTTCTCAGGATTCAAATTTATAATAAATTTTATCAATAAATCATATCTATATTATCAGTGCAAATGAGGATGGCATTTAATCTCTCCTTGTTTCCTCTTATGTAAAATGGGGATAAAACTTGTACTACATTCCTTACAGAGCTGTTGTGAGGAAAATTCCTTGAAAAATGTGAAGCACTATAGAAATAGTATTAGCAATTCACACTGATTAAGGGATTAGGCCTGAACATGGGAAGGGAGAGGAAAATCCAAAAAGAAACTTAAAATAATATCCAAGACAAGTTTTTTGACTGGAAATCTGATAATACTATGGAATACACTAAGCTTCCTAATGAATTCCCCCTTCTCCCCAAATAATGAAGCACCTTTTAAAATAAAAGTTATGTTCAAAATCTATGGTGAAACTTTTTAGGAGACATTTGTAAAAACCAAAGTCTAATCAGGAAACACACTATTAGGAGGCAGCAAGTATGGTGTGGCAGAAAGAGCAATAAATTTAAATCTAGAAGATCTGGGTTCTAGCCTCTGCTCTACCACTTGGTTACTGGTATAACCCTAGGCAAATCATAATCTTTCTGAACCTCAGATTCCTCACCTATAAAATGGGACTAATAATATTTGAACTATATATCTCACAGAGTTACTGTGAAGAGAACTCTTTGTAACTCTTATAGCAGTATGGAAATGTGAATTATTAAAAGTGAAGCATTTTATTATAATGCTAATAGTTAAACAATTATTTTTAAAACTAAAAAAAATACAATATTTCAAAACTTGAAAAATACCTTTAGGAGGAAAGTAGGATTTGCTTTCTGCTTTATGAGGCCAGTCCACAATCAAAGGACCAAAACGACGAAAACTGGCTGTGATTTCATCTGATCAAAAGCAAAACAAGAAAATGTGAGCAATTTTAAACCTCTGAAAAGGTTTTCAAATAATTTTTGACAAATATTTTGGGTGGCACATGTTTATGCCATGTTATCCATTTGAAGAGCCAGCTATTTCATGGAAGAACTTCCATGGTAAGTCCAGAGAGAATCTGCAGGTGGTGAGAGGGGAGGAGGGTGCCCAGAAAATGAAGAGAGAATGTATTCAAAATATAAAGCTAGTGGTTTTAGCCCCTTCAAAAAAAGTTAATAAAATAGATTTTTGCTCACTGGCTTTCAGAACATTACCTACATTATGTCTCTATTCTATTTTAAGTGATTCTTACATTTGTCACAGATTGATACTGAGTTGTCAACACACCAAGAAGGTAAAAAGCAAAATAATATCACAATACTCATTTATGCTTTATTCAAACTGCCACTCTTGTTCACATTATCCAAGCTTGACTCTTAGACAAATGTGAAAGCACCATTAAAATTACTACTGATGTTCTATGTGAGTACAGAACTTACACAAGCTTAAAGAAAACATTCTCCAATTCTAAAATTTGAAGTGAACTTTGGACATTTCTAATTTTTAAGATAGGCTAATTGTTCCATTTCTATCTTAATTCTGCAAACCAAACCCAAATAATGCAATATACAGGTCTGACTATGGTACTCCCATCTTCAAAAACCTCCAGTAGCTATATACTGCTTCTAGAATAAAATACAAGGCTTTCCACAATTTGACTCCAATCATCCTTTCTGATCTCTGCTGCCCTCAATGCTTTATATTCTAACCACTCTGGGCTACTAGTCCTTCCATGATTTTGTACTAGACACTCTCACCTCTGTACATTTGCACAGGTCATCATTCCAGGAATGGACTCTTTTAACACCTACTCTATGAAACAGGAGGAAGCAGTCACTTTCAGCTTAGAGAATCCAGGAAGACTTCATAGGTAATCATGGCACAAAGCCTTGAAAGAAGAGGACTTCAACAAACAGATGATAGGATCATAAATCTAGAGCTGGAAGGGACAGCTCCACTCTTTCCTCTTTGGATTTAGATTTTCATCCAAGTGGTACTATCTACTGTGTACCTCTTCTCTGTGCAGGTAAGACACTGTACTAGAAACTAGCAGTAGAAAAAGATATAAAATCAAATTCAAGGAGGTAACAAGTTAATTAGGAGAAAAGGAGATATACATAAAAAGTTAACAGTATTAGATATGAAATTTTAAATGTTAAACAAGTGGTCCAAGTTCAGGGGGGAAAAGGGACTCCTATAGCTCAGGGGAAATTTCAGGAACAGGTGAGACTTATACTAGGCTATCATGGAATGGTAGAATTTAAGTAAGCAGAAAAGAGAAGGGAAATTATGGTCAGAAGGGAATGGCATAAGAAAAATCACAATGTAAGAATGCAGATGGTAGGTAGGCCAATCTGACTGCAACAAAGGGTTCACTTAGAATAAAGTTAAGAAAAACAAGGCTGGAGAAGTAGGTTGGGTTTACATTTCATCCACCTGTATTGCCAATCCCTCCAAAGATAAGAGCTTAGGGACATCTTTTCTCTCAGTGACTATGGCAAAGTTCCCCACATTGGTTCTTTAGTCTTGTTGGATTTGAGGTAGGCAGTTCACTGTAACACTCTGAACAATGGCAATAGGAAGAAAAAGGGAAGGCAAAATTCCATGACTATAAATGAAGTACAAAAAAAGATAGACATTACTGGAGTTGGTTCGAAATCACTAAAACCTTGGAAAATGTTATTTACCAGGCTTTACTCTTCATAAAACAATGCCCCGTTTTAGCTGGCACACAACATCCTGCTCCTAATCAGTATCTGAATTAACTATATAGCATTGTAGACGCAGGCCTGGTGTTAGGGCTGAATACTCAACATACTTCTATGATCCAAGAAACACAAGATAATTAAACTGAGAGTCTACAGGTGGGCAAAGATTAAGGACCACATGGAGCAGCAAAGTATAGTTTGGTCAGACCCTTCTCTAGTTACCCACTGATTGCTCCTTCATTCTCATCCATGTCAGCCCCATTATTCCTATATCCCTTTTCCCATTCTACCCTCCCTTTCCACTCTGTCTTCTGGAAGACCTATTCTATTGTTAACAAACTGCCCTTCATCTTGTACTTCTTCCTCTCCTGTTCCTTCCATTTCTCCTGACATCCATGAAAACCTGCTCCCATCGAACCTAAGATCATATCTCTAGCAACACCCTCTAGTACTAGATATACCTTCTCATTCTAACATACTAGACCAGGAGGAGAAGGCATGCTTTTTATTCTTCATTCATACTTGTTGACTCTTTTCTTACTACTATCACCGAGCAAACCTCCTTTTTAGTTTAGTCAATTCACATGTCACCCTACAAAGATCCTGGTGGCTCACATCTGTCAGTCTCTGAATAGTATCTCTTCCCTCTAGAGAGAGAAAAGAGTACAGCAGTTGCCTCATAAAAGCAGACTCTTTCTCTAAACTCTAAACCCTACCCTTATACTTAAGGTCTTAAATTTACATGCTGATGTTCAAATAGCTTTGCTTTCCGGTTCTATCAACCTCTTTAACTCCCATGATATTGCATAACATAACTTCACTCCACCTCAGCCACACAAAGAGATGTTTATACACTGAACCTTGTGGTTATAAGTGCTCTACCTTCACAGTCTTCAACTCTGAAATTCCTCTATTATCTATTCCATTATCCCATTTTTATCTATTTAATCTATCATTTCATCTATTATCTATTCTATTATCCCATCCCTATGCTTCACTCATACTAGACCTATTTGTCATCCTTACTTCCAAGTACTCTATTTCCCAAGGCCATCACTTCAATTATGGCCTCACTTTCCTCCAAACATCTTGATCTTCTAATTAATCAATTAAACCATCCTCCTCCTGGTTTCCCTGACTTCCTTCAAGTCCCAACTAAAATCTCACCTGCTATAAGAAGCCTTTCCCAATCTCTCTTACAGCTAGTACTTTTTAGAGGCAGCTAGGTGGCACAGTGAGTAGAGCGCTGGCCTTGGAGTAAAGAAGAGCTGAGTTCAAATATGGCCTCAGACACTCACTAGTTGTGTGACTCTATGCAAGTCACTTAACCTGTTTGTCTTAGTTTCCTCAATTGTAAAATAGGGATAAAAGCACCTACCTTGCAGAATTGTTGTAAGGATCAAATGAGATGATATTTATAAAAACCCTTGGTATGGTGCCTGGCATGTAATAGGCACTATATAAAATGTTTATTCCCTTCCCTTTCCCTATATTGATTACTTCCTATTTAACCTGTACATAGCTTATTTGTACATAAGTATTTACATGTTGCTTCCTGCATTAGATTGTGAGCTCCTCTAGAGCAGGAACTGTCTTTTGCTTTTCTTCATATCCCTAGCAAGTAGCATAGTACCTGGTATACAGTAGGCACTTAATAAGTGTTGATTATTTTTTAAAAGCACTATATGTAAATGATATCTATTATATTCCATTTTGAAGGGCACATACACATCTACCTAGTGAGGTAGGCCAAAAATAATTTGAACAGCTACATTTTTTTTTTCTGCACTAATTTAATATAAGAACAATTATAGGTACTAATTCAAGGAGATCTTTGCTATCGACCACTACTTCTAAACATACCTTCATCAATGTCAGGAGGCAATCCACCCACAAAAACTTTGCGGGAATATCGTTCCACTCTTTCCCCATTTTGATGAGTGAAGCAGTGAGGTGACCCTAAGCCACCATGTAGGGGCTGATCCCCACGTCCATCATCCAAAAACCCATCTTCCATTGGAAACAGTGAAGATTGGCCTAGAAGAGAGAATATGAAAGATGCTAACAGAAAAATGTATCCAGGGCTCCACACATAAACCATATGAAGAGTCCTAATTTGGAAAAACTAATGTTCTCATACTCGTTGGATAGAAAATAAAATTGCTTAAATGTGCTCTTAAATTTCCATCACCTTACATTCCTAATTCTTTGAGAAAGGAAATGCACAGTTATATAGAAGGCTACTCAAGTATTCCACTGGAATCCTGAAACTCCAGCTGGGTTAAAGCAAAGTGAGAAGGGCACCTTTCTGTGAGTGGCTGGCACTAGATGGCTACTATTTTGCCAGAACTCCACAGATACTGCCAACACAGATGTGCTGCTGGAGTCCACTACTGGACAATTGGAACCTTGATCAGATGAAGTTTTTCAGAGAGCTAAGATCACATTTTTCAAAAAACACTTTCAATATAAAATTTTGTTTAAAATGGACAGCAAGTCAATTGTTTGGATAAGTGAATGTTTCTCTTAATTTACCTTAATTAGACATAAGCAGAACACTTTGAGGAAGAGCTGCTATGTAACTTTACTGTGCCTGGTCTCACCAAATTAAGATTCTCTATACAGCACTCAAGGAAAGACTTTTTAGCTGAACTGTTTAACTGTTTTCTTAGGAGGAAATTTAATTCTAAAATGTGAACATTAAATTTATTATCTGAGAATTATATCATTCAGAAGATATATGTGAAATTGGTCAGAGCAATGTCTAACACCTGTAACAGTCACTTGAAAACCAAACAAAATATTTAAACCACAAATAAAAATACTAAAGTAAGAAAAGCAAGATATATTATAAATAACTACAAGCAAGCTTTGTTTTTGTCACTAGTAACCTTGACAGTTTACTGTCAGGGGTTATGAAATAAATTTATTAATGAACTAAATTCCTAGGAGTCTGTCACAAGCATGTTCTCGGTTGAAACACCCCGATGTCCTTTTGCTACAAATCTTGTTTTCCTTTTAATTTTCTCTGTGTAAATTCATATTTTAACAATCTATCCCATAACACCTACTCTCTAGAAATATTTACATGTCAAATAACTACAACTTTCTTTTTAGTTATTCCCAGTGTCTTGATTTTTTTATATGTTAGCATAGCTAAATAATTATTTAATGCTACATCACAACTGTCAAATTAGAGATAAACAATATTATAATCACAAATCCTTCTAGGAAAAAAATTTCTTCACTTACTGATGTTATTGGATATTTTCCTAGCATTTACATAGCTGCATTCAAGTCTGAGATCTACTTCATAGGATGAGAATCATTTGTTCAGCTCTTAGTTTGGAAACCAGGAGTTATGAAAGATTAAAAGATTATTTAAAAAAAATAACGAGCTGGGCTAGGTGTGGTGGTACACACCTGTAATTCCAGCTACCAGACAGGCTGAGGATAGTAGATCACTAGAGCTCAGCAATTTTGAGCTGCAGTGGGCTAAAGCTGATTAGGGCATCCCCACCAAATATGGTAAGCCCCCAGAAGAAGGGGGTCATCAGGCTGCCTAAGTAAGGAAAGGCCTCACGTTAGAAATGGCCCATGCCAATCAGTAGTGGGATCAGGCCCATGAGTGCTAGCTACACTTACAGGCTGGGCCAGATACACAGACTCAGTCTCAAAAAACAGACATACAAACAAAAACAAGACACACACATCAAGTTATGAAATTCCATATTGAATCAAATATAAAAGAACTGTGGAACTTTTTTATATATCTCAAATATTGTGTGACAAGGATGACATCTACATATATTATACAGAGTGGGTTATAGATACTTTGGCACATCAACATGTGCATAAGGGTGGAGGGAGAGACAGGACTGGATCTTAAAAATTCAGAGAATGGCCAGTAGTGCTGCCTCAAAAGCCTATTGATTAAATTTTCTATGGGAGCATTTATACCTTGGAAATGGACACACTACAAATCAGGGCTTGATTTCTTTTTGTTAATTTCTAGATCGAAGAAAGTAGTCGAAAAAATTAATAATGCAGATTAAATTTAAATGTTATACACATACATATACATGCACATTTTGGAAAAGCTGACAGTGTAACGTTTACCAGTTACTCTGTCAGTTACTCTGACAGTAAGCTGAGATTTGTTGAAATATCTCAATATTCTTTTGGGGTTTCACTACAAAGTTTTTCAAAAACTAATTACTATGTTCTTTTAGAAAAAGTATCAGAGTGAATACGATAATTTTCTATGTGAAAGTAAGTTTAATTTTGTGGAGTTAAAAACTTACTCTTAAGGATAAAGTTTCTTTTCTTTTTAATTGCTTTTGAAAAGAAAGTTGAAATGCATTATTAAATATAAGGATGATGAATTGATTATTTTTAAAATCAACACCTTATCATTCTGTTTTATACATTAATTTAATTTACAAAAATTGTTCTGTCTCATATTATTGCAGTACATAAACTAAGTTTGGATCAAAGAGAGGTTTCCTCTTTTTTATAAAGTTACTAAGGATTAAGCAAATTAAGTGATTTGTCATGATACAATTTATACATTAGTAAGTTAAAAATAGTAATGTTACCTCGCCTCCGCCCATATGTCCTTGCTGCATGTCAAATGAGAAAAAAAAAAACAACCTTTCAAACACTGTTATAAGTATTAAACGTGCTTTCATCTCATGACTTATAAAATTGCCATGACATGTCTGACCATATTTCTCACTCCTTGGCTGCAGTATCGCAAAATTATATATTAAAGATTATAGATTATAATGCAAATCTAGGCATTAGTTTTTTAAAAAAAAACATTTTTGAAGAACAAGGTCACATCCCTCCAACTCCCTACCCCCACACACTCAACATATATTTCAAAAAAAAAAAAAAAAAGTGAGCATCTCCTCAACATCATCTCTGCTATGATAATCAGATGTCCAAGTTAGAATTAAATGTGTTCTTAATACTGCTCTTACTTTCTAACTTTTTCTCACAGCTGCCTACCAGCAATTAGGTGATATTATAGTACTTTATTCACATTTTGTCACACAAGATACTCAGCAATTTTCATATATAACCATAACTGGCTCTCAACTGACTAAAGGGAACACAATGCTGATAACTCCAATGCTCAAACCACCCCCAAACTACATTTTTTTGCAGTAGTTTGAAATGTTATGCTTCATCAAACCTACAACTATAAATAAATAGTAGCAAAGTTCATAGTTCTGGGGTTTTATCTCAAAAAGGCCAGCAAAGCAAGCTAACCAAAAGTGGATAAGCAGCTCCTAAATATTTGAATTGAGAACATACAAGTCCCTCTACAACATACCTAACAAGGGGCCATTTATCCTTTTCTTAAAGACCTTGAAAAAGATGGGGGTGGGGAGAATAACCTCTCAAGATGGCCCATTCCACTACTGGATAACTCAATTTTAGGGGAAAATTGTTTATCTCTGTGATATCTTACCTCAACATTGAATGGCATTGACAAATATCACTCCAATTTAATTTATCCCCAATAACCACCATGAAATTGCCTGCCAAGTTTACCAACAGAGCGTGAAGCTCATGGTAGTGGCAGCACCTTCAATTCATTTAGGCAACTTGGGAAATCTGGGAATATAGCAATGTTATTGAGGAATGTTTAGTAACTACATTCTCAGACCTTGACTATATCCATAAAAGCAATGGACAGGAATTTGTTTCCAGTTATCTCGTAAATAATATTAAATGAGAAGATATATTAAATTGTATTAGAAGGCACCAAGACAGCTAAATATTTAAAAAAAAATCACTTGTGATAAAATACATTTTTTTCCATGTATAGATAGTGCTGGTTTTTACTAATCAGGAAGAGCATTGTCCAATAAATAAAGAGATAGATAGACAGATAAACGAATGAATGAACTGAACAAGTTAAAACAAAATGAGACCTACTGATCAATTTTTAAGTCTGAAAATAACTAACATACTTAATAAGGTCTTAAATTTAAGGGGAAAATAATTTTCTTTATTCCTTTTTTTTGGGGGGGGTCACGTAGACAACTGTTGAAAAGATTCAAAACTCAAAGTATAAGCTAATCCATTCATATTCTTGTTTCAAACACCAGAGTCTAAGGCCAATTCAATACTATGAAGTTTTTGGATTCATGAATTTTAGTTATTTAAACAAATTTTTAAGGGCTATGGAAGCAAACAGAAAGCCTGACTATAAATAAGCTTTTCTAAACTAAGTTTCATTATAAAAAAAGGCTTCCAGTTTTCAATTACTTAAAAAATAAATACAGCACCAGGAACAGCATTTCTGTAGAGAGCAAAAGCTAAAGAAATCTCAAACTTCTGAACTCCATAAAACAAAAACAATAGATAAAACTACCCAAAAATCTACTGGTTAAAAATTTGAAATTAAATCCTGCCCCTTCATTATGTATCATAGTATTTAGTACTGTCCCTATTTTGCCTATTTCAATTTATACTTGAACTCAAAAGGTTAAGCTACTATGCTTGTGAAATATCTGGCAATAATTTTTTTCAAAAAACAACCATTCACTCCACCCTCATGACTGTCAAGTGTTTCTTGCCCTCTAACAGAAAATACTGCATATCTAGCAAATAGGAACGCCACTGACATACTTGCATCCTACTGAGTACCTATTATTTGCTTTGAGGAAATCTTTTTTTGGAGAGTAGGGGGAACAGTCTAGTTAAATATCAACTGAAAAACTCTACTCAATAAAAGCAACTACTAAAAGAAGAAAAAAATCATTATTTTCTTAGTAAAGCATAAAAATCCTACAAACTCCATCAATTAGAACTGAAGTGATACCTTCTAAATAATAGTTAGGCCTTTTCCCCACTATCAATAAATTTGTTTTTGGTTTTTAAACTACTTAACAATTTAATTTGGAAGATAATTTTGGCAATAATTATGCCTGAAACTCAATATAAATTTAAATTATGCCTAAGAATTTCTGGTAAGCAGGACATCATCACAAAATGGATACAGAAAAATTCAAATTAAGATTTATTATTGTATTATTTTGTAGTCAATCAATAAACATTTATTTGGTATTTACTCTGTGCTAAGTACTGTCTAAGGAATACAAAGTAAGGCAAAAGGCAATCCCTGCTCTCAAGAAGCTCATAGTCCAATGGAGGAGACAAGAAACAAACAACTTTATACAAGACAAAATGGAAATAATCAACAGAGAGAGTAAGGCAGTAGAAATAAGGTGCATCAGGAAAGGCTTCCTGTAGAATTTGGGATTTCAGCTGGGACTTGAATGAAGAGGGGAAAGAAGAGGAGGGTGAGTATTCCAGGCACTGAGGACTGCCAGAGAAATGCCTGAAGTTGGGAGATGGAGTATCTTGTTTGAAGAACAGCAAGAAAGCCAGTGTCAGTGGATCACAGAATACATGATATGTGCAAAGGGTAAGAAGGCTGAAAAGGTAAGAGGGGCCAGGTTATTAAGGCCTTTAAAAAAGAAGATTTTATATTTGATCCTGAAGGTGATGGGGAGTCACTGAGAAGGGGGACTAGGGGAAAGGGGTGTGTGTGTGTGTGTGTTTGTGTGTGTGTGTTTAAGCGTAACATGGCCAGACCCGAGCTTTAGGAAAATCACTTTTGACAGCTAAGTGGAAGACAGGCTTGGGAGTAGGAAGAGTTATGACCATATTCAGGCTATTCTAATATCTATACCTCACCTCAGTTCATTCTCTACCTCCTATCCCCCCAACCAATAAAGACAAGGCTAGATATTGTAGTGCAAAGGCTTCTTAAATCTGAAGAGTAGAAAGAGCTTTCATTAAAATATTTCAAAGAATTCATTCTTCAAGAGGGATGAAAAAGCATTAGTATGGTCAAATAAATATAATCAAAGATTTGGAATTGGGAGTTGAGGCTAATCACTTGATACCCCTTCATTTTATAGATGAATGAGTTGAAGCACAGAGAAATGAAGAGATTTACCTAAAGTCATACTGCTGGGAAAGGGCAAAGAAGACACAGAAACCTAGTTCTGACTTCAAATTCAATGCTTTTTCCATCATACCATGCTATGTAGGAAGAGATAACTAGAAAGCCAGAGAGTCCAATTAATTACAGAACAAAACTACATTTATGAAAAGAAAGGACAAACCAGACACAATGCTATTTTTAAAATATCACAGCACGGTCAAAAATGCATTAAAATCCTTGAAAATAAAAGCAATTATTTTACAGAAAATGTCCAAATGAAGCTAACTATTGAAAGATATTAATGTTGAATTCTTTTGTAAAGCAAATATCTAATTAAGCTGGTTAATAATGAAACTATATTGTATGTTTAAAAATTTAGATTTCTACATCTATGGCTGTGGCTTCAAATGAAATGTAAATGCATTAGTTTACTGCTATGATGTTCCTTGAGTAAATCACACCAATCAAAATGTCACCTTGAAGTTAAGATATAAAATAATTAGTAAAGCTCTACTTGTTTGAGAGGTTAGAGAATAAAACTTGGTAAAAATTAGCATTATGTATACTATGTCCTATTCATTCTATGTCCTATGATTAGGTTGCAAGATCCTTGAGGGCAAAAGATCATACTTGATCTTTAAATTTAACTCAAGAGCTGGAGTTCTTAACCTAGGGTTTGTCAACTTGGTTTAAAAAACATATTTTGAAAACTAAATTTTAATTTAATTGATTTCCTTTGTAATCCTATGTATTTTATTATATACATTCAAAACATAATTCTGAGAAGAGGGGCGTAGGTTTCACCAAATTGCCAAAGGGGTCCATGACACAAAATAAGGTTAAGAACCTCAGCTCTAGAACACCAAAACCACACTATATTATATGGGCTCAATGGATTCCTCTTGGCTGAAATAATTCTTGTTTTGAATGGACTTTTCCTAATAGGCATTTAACCCTCTCAGTGCAGATATAATCAAACTATTTTATCTCTTATTAATTTTCCCACAGCAGCTAACGTGGTTACTTAATGCTTCAAAATGCTCTTAAATACTCAGAGGCAAAGAAATATGTGTGTATATGTATGTGTGTATATATGTATGTAAGTATACACACACAGAGAACACCTTAACATTTCATTAATATTTTTGACTTTATAAGTTTTGGTATAACAGCTAATTTTGTAGAGGAAAATTGGTAGAATAACTAAAATAGAGAACAGGAGAACAACAAAATACCACCCCCCCCACACACTAATAAGGATGATTGCTTTTGCACAGAGGCAGGAAAAATCTTACAGCTCTCTGAGGCAATATTCCATAAAATATATTAGGCAAAAGAAAATGAACATTCCCTGGTCCTTCTGATATTACCTAGGACTTCAAAAAACATTCCTGACTTCAAAAAGTGGTTAACAAAACTCATTATGTCATTTCTGTCTTGGGGCAAGATAAGACCACAGATTCCTTAGTGAAGTCCAAACCAGAACCACTAAATTTAGCTTATCACATGTTATAGAATGAGAAATGGAAGAAGTCTTAAGTGAGCTTAGTTCAACCTGTATCTCTAAAGCATGAAAGCTAGAAACACTTCAGGAGTCTGGTTTCTTAGGTTCTTGAAATCCTTTTCCTTTAAGGCATGAGGGTGCCATCTACT